TTCCCTCATATCTCACTTCAATTCATAAAGAACATTTGTTGGTGCTACTCCCGATATACAGCCCTAATCCAACCATTTCTCATCATTATCACTGCCATTCAAATGATAAGAATCACCTCTGCCTTAACTTTTCTAAGTCTCCTAAATCAGCAGTCCCCAACCTTTTTGGCACCAGACAGTGGTGCACCTATGAGAATCTAATGCCTGATGATCTGAGGTGGAGCTGAGGCGATGATGCTAGCACTGGGGAGTGGCTACAAATACAGATGAAGCTATGCTTGCCTACCTGCTGCTCACCTCCTATGTGGCCAGGTTCCTAACAAGCCACGGACTGGTACCAGTCCACAGCCTGGGGGTTGGGAGTTGGAGGCCCTGCCCTGAATAATCTCTCTGCTTCCACTTTTTCTCCCTTAGATCCCATTATTCATAAAGCAGCCAGGATGATCTACTCAAAAATGAAATTATATAACTCTCCAGCTTAAAATTCTCTAGTGGTATCCTACTGCATTAGACTCAATCCAAACTCCTCACAGCCTAGAAGGCCCTACCTAACCCATCCCACGTCTACCTCTCTAGCCTCACCTTCTGTCTCTCTACTAATTGTTCAAATTGTTTCAGCACCTCTAGTTTTCTTTCCGTTCCTTAATCTGTATCAGAGGCCTTCTGCACTGGCTGTTACCTCTGCCTTGCTCTTCATCCATAGCATCCTTCATATGACTGCCTTCGCTCTCATCTTTTAGGTCTCTGTTCAAAGGTCACCCTATCAGAGAGGCTCCTGACCACCAGAGAGTCACTATCTAGCCCATTACCCATTTTTACTTTCTTTATACACAATAAATAGTGATGGACGCTATCCCCTCTCACTAGAAGGTAAATTTAAGTTCTTTGAGGACAGATATTATGTAAGATTTTTTATATTTCCTATGGCACATGTAAGAACATCAATAAATACCAAGTGATCAACTTATAAGATGAAATATCTGTGATCTGTAAAACTATAAATTTTTCTAAAGCCAGATGTAAACAGAGAAACTGCAAAAAGGATGATAAAATGATGAGTATTATTTAGTATAAGTTCAGAACCACACGATTCTTGACTTAAACAAGTTTTTGTAAACTAAACAAACATTAATTTCTATTGTAACCACTTAAATTTCACTAAAATGACAGCAAAGCAAGTTATTTTCATGAAGCAAACTGAAGTCTTACTTAATGTTATAATGTCCAGTTTTCAGTGTACATCTATCAGGAAGCTGAGCAAGCTTCCTCGAGAGCATTTTAAAATACTTCCTGCACTCCTGCACGCCCGTGCCTTGTTCATAGTCAGTAGAAGCAGAAAGTGGCAGTCCATCTCTGACACGAATAACTGAGGCAGATAAAATCATAGACATTTCAACCGACAGAGAAGACCTAAAACAAAAATAAATAATTTGGGTTAAATAGAAAATTAAAGCCAAAGCTGATAAACAGTGCAAAAATGTTCGACTCACCAATAATCAAAGACATACTAAACAAAACGACTTCCTATGATTTCCTTAACAAATTAGCTTTAAAAAATATAATACTTGCTTCTTTCTGGCATTCTCAAAGTATATGCAGAAGTAAATATTTGAATAAACACCATTCTTAAAACAATTTGGCAATATTCAACAGAGTTTAAAAATATTTAGTCTCTTTAACCACAAAAAAATTTAAATATATAACTCTATCCTAAGGAAAGTAATCAAATTCAGACAAAATTTTAAAGAAAAAAATCCTTTCACAGAAATAACTGAAAATAACCAAACATCCAGTAACAGGAGGATGGTACACTCCTGTTATAGTACACCCATATGATGAAAAATAATGCAAAAAGCAAACATTACATTTGTGAAAAATAGTTTAATAATGTGGTAAAATGCTTATATGTTTGATAGGGGAAAAAAGCAGGATAAAGACTGCAAATGATGTTTTCCAGAGACAAAAAGAAGGAAGAAGGGAGAAATAAATGGAGAAACAGATACTGGAAGGAAACACACCAAAATGAGAATAATGCTTATCTCCAGGAAATATGATTATCATTTTATAATTTTCCAAATTTTCATATTTCACAATGGGCATATACTACTTCTATAATCAGAAAAAATATTTAATTTTAAAATAAATCTTAAAGCTAAAAGAATACTGGTTTTAATACTGTTCTCGATCTTTCTACCAGAAAGCAAAAAATAATGACCTATTTTATTAGATTCTGATCATGCTTTATGAAAATAAATAAAAGGACTACATAGGCCTAGGTCCAAAAGAAATCAGGTAAGTCAAAGTTTGATTAAAAACATAGTTTTCGAATGTTAGCTTGTATAAAAATCATTGGAAGTTTGGTTAGAAATGCAGATCTCTCCCAGACAAGAAAAGGCTAAAGGAGTTCAGCAAGAGGAGGAAAGACTCCCAAGTTCATTTTACAAGGACAGCTTTACCCTGATTCCAAAACCAAAGACATTACAAAAAAATAAAATAAAATTATAGGCCGTTATCCCTGATGAACACAGATGCAAAAATCCTCAACAAAATATTAGCAAACTGAATTCAGCACTATATTAAAAAGATCATACACCATGATCAAGTGGAATTTATTCCTGGGATGCAAGGTTGATTCGATATTCACAAATCAACTAACATGATACACCACATACAAAAAATTAAGGATAAAAATCGTATAATCATATCAACAGATGCAGAAAAGCCCAGCAATCATTTATGATTAAAACTCTCAACAAAGTGGGAAGAGAGGGTCATACCTCAACATGATAAAGACCATATATGACAAACTCACAGCCAACATACTAAATGGCGAAAAGCTAAAACTGTTTTCCTTAATATCAGGAATGAGACAAGGATGCCCTCCTTTAACGCTTTTATTCAACATAGTATTGGCAGTCCTAGCGACAGCAATCAGACAAGAAAAAGATAAAAGGCATCCAATTGGAAAAGAAGAAGTAAAACTGTTATTATTAACAAATGGCCTGATACCACAGAGAGATCCTAAACATTCCACAAAAAATATCAATAAATGAATTCAGTAAAGTAGTAAGGTACAAAAGTAATATTTAGAAACAGGTTGCATTTTTATACATGAATAATGAACTATCAGAAAGAAAAATTTTAAAAAAATCCCATTTACAACTGCATTCAAAAAAAAAAACTCGGAATAAATTTAATAAAAAAAGGTAAAAGATCTGTACTCAGAAAACTATAGACATTGAGGAAAGAAAGTGAAGATGCAAATAAATGAAAGGTTATATTGTGCTCATGGATAAGAATTAACTTCGTTAAAATGTCCATACTACCCAAAGCAATCTATAGATAGACTCGATGCAGTCCCTATCAAAAGAGTAACAGCATTTTTTCATGGAAATAGAACAAATATTCCTAAAATTTACATGGAGCCATAAGAGACCCTGAAGAGCCACAGCAATCCTGAGAAAGAACAAAATTGGAGGCATCACACTACCTGATATCAAACTATACTTCTAGGCTATAGTAATGAAAATAGCAATGGTACTGGCATAAAAACAGACACATATATCAATGGAACAGAATAGAGAGCCTAGAAATAAACCTGTGCTTATATGGTCAATTAATCTATGACAAAAGAGGCAAGAATATATGGGGTAAAGAGAGTCTCTTCAATAAATGGTGTTGAAAAAACTGGTTACATGTAAAAAACTGAAACTAGACCATTTTCTTACAACATATATAAGAATAAACTCGAAATGGATTAAAGACTTAAGAGTAAGACTTGAAGCCATAAAACTCCTAGAAGAAAATATAGGCAGTTAATTCCTGACACTGAGCTCACTGTTATGTTTTGGATGTCTCCTTGGACAAGGAAAACAAAAGAAAAAAATAAACAAATAAAACTACATCAAACTAAAAAGTTTTTGCACAACAAAGGAAACCATCAACAAAATGAAAAGACAACCTACTAAATGGAAGATATCTGCCAATAATACATTCAATAAGGAGTTAATATACAAAATATATGAAGAACGCATACAACTTAACACCAAGAAAACCCAAACTAATTAAAAAATGGGCAAAGAACCTAACAGGCATTTCTCTAAAGAGGACATACAGATGACCAACAGACATGTGAAAAGATGCTGTCACTAATCATAAGGAAAATGCAAACTAAAACCACAATGTGATATTACCTCACACCTGTCAGAATGGCCAACATCAATAAACCAACAAACAATAAATTTGTGAAGATTGCAAATTGGTGCAGCCACTATGGAAAAGTCTAAAGGTTCCTCAAAAAATTAAAAATAGGACTACCGTATGACCCAGCATTTCCACTTTTGATTATTTATCCAAAGAAATCCAAAATACTAATTTGAAAAGATATATGCACCCCTACGTTCACTGCAGCATTTTTTACAATAGCCAAGATACAGAAGCAACCTAAGTGTCCATCAATAGACAACTGGATAAAGAAGATGTGGTACATATACACAATGGAATATTACTCGACCATAAAAAAGAATGAAATTTTACTATTTGCGACAACATGAATGGACCTAGAGGGAATAACACTAAGTGAAATAAATCAGAGAAAGACAAATACCATATGATTTCACTTGCATGTGGAATCTAAAAAACAAAATAAATGAACACACAAAACAGAAACAAACATAGATACAGAGAACATTTTGATAGTTGCTAGATGAGAAGGGTATTGAAGGGCTGGGTGAAAAAGGCTAAGGGATTAAGAAGTACAAATTGGCAATACAAAATAGTCGTGGGGATGTAAAGTACAGCACAGAGAATATAGTCAATAATGTTGTAGTAACTATGTACAGTATGGTATCAGGTGGGTTCTAGACTTATTAGGGGAATTGCTTTTCAATAAGGAGTTAACGTAAATGTCTAACCACCATACTGTACCCCTGAAACAAACATAATATTAAATGTTAATGTAATTGAAAAAAATTTTAATAAAAAAAAAGTCCATGAATTTAAAAAAAGAAATGCAAATTTCTGGGCCCACCTCCAAAAAATTCTGATCCATTGACTGTGAGGTGGGGCCTGAGACTCTTCCATTTTTAACAAATTCCCCAGGTAATTACTATGCTTATTGTCTAAGAATCATACTTTCAAGAATATTGAATTAAAACATGTTCACAGTGTGAAATTAAGTGATAACTCTTTTCTGTCAGAACCATCAGAACACTAAGTGCTTCTCCTTCACTAGCAGTACGGGCAACTGATGAAAACTGAAAAATCTGATAACAATTTCATAGGCTTTTTCATTGCTATCGTATCAGAGACTAAATTAATCTTTACTTGCTACGTAAAGTTCAGCTAGGTCAGTATTAACTCATTCTAAAAATGAAAAATTGAGTGTAGACGAAAAAGGGGTTCTATGGAAAGTATCCTCACAGGGTGATCTGATCATAAATTCATGCCTCAGGCATATAACTTTTTTAGTAAAAGGTTTATCTTTGCCTTAAGCAAGACCTGTCCACTGTTTCAGTGCATCTAGGTTAACATAACTTTGAAATAACCACCCTCAAGAGAACACATAATCCTGCTAACTATCCTGTAACTCCATCCCTGCCTTGCTTTCTCCCACCTCCATGTAATGCTCCTTACATTCTTCCTCAATTTCAAGTGCATAAAAGAAGCTTCAAAACTGTCATTTCCCAAAGCACTTGCACTTCTGCTTCCCAGCAACTGTTGTCAGTTTTGGCTCAAATAAAATCTTACAAAAATTCTCTACAGGTTTGGATATTTTTAGTTATATATCAAAAATATACCAAAAAATGCCACAGAAAATCAACTGATAACAGGTTTGGAAATCAGTGGTCCCTAGTATTCTTTGCTATGTAAAGTCAAAATCTGACTGCCCACTCATGTTAACTTATTGACAATAAAAATTAACCCAAATAAAGCTAACACACTAAATTTACTCCCCCTTTTCCTCTTTTCATGAGAAAGTGAGAGGAATAGATAGGTATTAATATGCCATTACCCATTAA